AAAAAATCAACTCTGAGGTCTTAAAAATCCCAAAAGTATATAAAGAGACCATTTACTTTTAATACAAAAGGTTACAATCACTATTGTCTGTCCAATTTTAAATCGGGTGGTGTTGAGAATGTTCTTAACTAGAATTAAAGTTCAAAAAAATATTTTTTATACTTTGTGATACACTCCAAGCTATCCAATTTGACATTTAATAGCTAGTAGCAATTTTGACCTCCTTTTAACAAAGGTAAATGGAATCGTAGTATACAATTCCTAGAAAAATATGCTTATCTAAATCTTTTGTTACTGGGAAATTAAAATTTGGCCACCCATTTCAATGGGCATCGAATTTATGGGATTTGGAGCACTAGCACTAGGTCAATTATTGGAAGAGGGGGGGAGGGGAGTCCAAAGTTGTTGTCACCCCGAAATCACTTCTTAGTCATCCATTTAACATAGGCGCTCGATCTAAAGGAGAGATTTTTTTGAGCTCCACAAGAAATTTTATTTGGATTATTATGGAAAATGGTTTGATAGGGCCGTAGCCCTATCAAAATAAGTAAAGCCTTACCTCTTAACTCATCAAAAATTGCAATTCAAGTGTTGGAGAACCCTGAAATGGATCAATTCATCTTGAGCATTATGGTTGTGAACAAATTAGGATTTCAAATTCTAAAAATATTATACATTGCAACAAATCATCTAAACCGTCTATTTTTCCCTAAAAATAAATGTTCACGGATACACATGATCTGTACCCTGTTTTAGTTCCAAATTTTATTGTCAGTGTTGAAAATAGATTAGAATTTTTATGCCAAAAGTACTTTTTGAAGGAAAAGATTATATAATGTGTCAACCTCATACCGTAGAAATAAGGTGCACCTAAAAAACCCAATAGAGAAGGTTGTTCCATGTCGAAAACCCCTCAAACTGTCATCTCGATCTCAAGATTTATAGATATGAAAACAAGGAGATTTTTAGTTCTAAAAATTGTTCATCTTCTAACACATTATCTACATCGTTCATTTTTAAGATTTTCAAATGTTTATAGATCTGCTTGATCTTCACTATTTCGGAAATTTTAAATTTCATAATTGGGAGAAACAATAGATTTTCGTATTATTGCAGTGCTTTGCAGCACAAAAACTATATTTTCGATATAGTTTTGGGTACACCGTACTTCAATAGTATAAGGTTGACACCTTATACAAACCTCGCCCCTTTTCGAATCAGGATTTGAGGCGGTGTTTTCATAAAATCTAGGCCCTATAAACCTCCATTCAATTATTATATGGATAAGGACACAATTATTATGGTCCCCAGGGCAACATCTTAGCTGCTTGAACTATTTTGGGGGCAATGAGCCTTCCTTCACTGCTTTCATAGAGGGAATTCAAAGCTGTGCTATTTTGTTATTCTACTGCTGAAAAATTGCTCCTAAAGCGAACTAACAGCAATTAGATGCGGGCTCCTAAAGCTATTAAACAAGCCCTATAATAATCTATTTTTGAAATAAATTCTAAGTCTAATTTTGAAAGGATATACAGCTCGTGATTATTAATGTATAAAAAAAGATTAAGTTCAAATGATATTTTTTAAAAAATAAATATTTGAGTCATTGATTTTTTTTTTTCTTAGAGAGACCATCACTTAGATTCATCTTTAGATGGATGAAAATATGTACCCACTGTATAAACTACTTTTCCGAACTATATTCCAAAAAATTTCCCTTATGAAATTCTCATGGGTAGTGGAGTTGTCTCCCAAAGGGGCGCCACAAGCCATCGTTGATCCAATAGTTTGCTCCAAGGTTTAAAAAAACGAATGAGTGACCCGGATTGGCCACTTCAAAAGCTATCTCAGATCGGTGGATTGGAGAATCGGTTAGATCGGCCAAAAAAATTTCAAAATCCCTATAATTTGTAGTTAAATCTACTTTTTTAGGTTTCGAAAAGAAATAGTGGCAATTGCATTAAGTTTTTTAATTATTGCGTCAAAAAATAAGCAAATACCGAGAACTTCTCTCGTGTTGAGTATTTGTTATCTATTAAATTTATTTTATAGTCAAATTAAAGTTTAAAATGCAATATGATAATAAAATGAATCTCTCTAATTTAATTCACTGTTTTAATTTTTAGTGAAAGAGGTTATTAGTATACATAAAGAGAGAATGTTAGTGAAATTGACTGTTTGTGGAGAGAGAAGGGCTGTCGGTAGGAGAGATTGTTAGTACAGAGAGATATAGACAGATGGAAATGGCGCGTGAGAGAGAGACCCCAATGGGGGTTGAGTGAGGAAGAGACGCCCATGGTGGGAGGGAGGAGAGAAAGAGGCCAAGTGGGTGCTGAGAGAGAGACCCAATGTTTTTTGCCCCATTGAAAAAATGGCCCATATGAAGAAAATGGGACAATTTATCCCACATTGAAGTTTTACTGAACCTTAAACATCTATAGAACCCTCACGATTGTTAAAGGCATGCTTATGTGAAGTTTGGTAGGGGCATACGATTGGTTAGTGGGGAAGTGTGGTTGGCTTCGAGTCCCTGAGAAGGTGACCCAACTTGGGTTTTAGGATTTGGCTTGTTTGTGGGGTGCACTTGGTTGGTTGGAGCCCATGTGAAAGTGAACCCACTTGCTAACATTTGGTTGATTGAGTGTGCCCCTTGTTTTAATTTTTTATGAACTTACCCAAGTTTACCCAAATATATTGAGGGAACTTACCCAAGTTTACTCAAATATATTGAGGGATTCAGAATATTGTCGACGATTTTTCAATCAAAATTGAGCGATTCCAATCTAATTTTTTTATGAACTTACCCAAGTTTATCCAAATATATTGAGGGAACTTACCCAAGTTTACTAAAATATATTGAGGGATTCATAATATTGTCGGCGATTTTTTAATCAAAATTGAGCGATTCCAATCTAAATTTTTTATGAATTTACCCAAATTTACCCAAATATATTGAAGGATTCAGAATATTGTCAAACGATTTTTCAATCAAAATTGAGCGATTCCAATCTAAAGTTCCGAATTTTCAAACCTTGGTATGCTCATTCGTTTAAATTTTTTCAATTTCTACCGTCCTTTACTTTTTGGAGTGTATCAACCTTTGTTGCTTTGCATTAATAAACCAAAAAAGGATTGTTTAACTATATAATAAACTTTGATAGATTGGAACGCATATAGGGCTGATTGTAAGTTTTGTTCAAAATTTCAAAGCAATCAGCATCTAGCACGGTAGCTGCCAAATGTTTCATAACTAACCTTGAATATCTTAAGCTGCCAGCTGTTTCATGAATACCTTACTCATCATCGTTATCTTAGCTTTTTCCGGGTTCGACAATTTTGACTATCTTACTAAACTTGAATATGACAAGGGTAAGCTCTCGATCGTTTTCCCTGCAACATAAAATTTATGTTTTTCCTTGTCCAACCGTTCATTCTGAATGGAGGATTAAGATTGCTCCAATCACAATGTCACGCCTCTATACTATTTTATTTTTAATACGACGAGGGCAAGCTCTTTATGTTTCCCATGCAACATAAAATTTATATGTTTTTCCTTATCCAACCGTCCATTCTGAATGGAGGGTTAAGATTGCTCCAATCACAATATCACGTCTCTATACTATTTTATTTTTAATTTTTTTATATAAAATATTTTTGGACATCCAATCCTCTATTAAACTCACACTTGTAAAAAATATAAAAATATATTCTCAATAAAATAAAATAACCAAAATACTTTTGAAAGTTTTCAGATGTATTTTGGGCATCACGTTTTATGGAAAAAAATTTTAAATATTTTTTATAGGTACACTCCAATGAGAAAATAGCATGTACCAAATTTCATATTCATACAATTAGCATTAAAAAATTAAAAATAAAATACTCTAAGGCATTGGATCTAGGATCAAACGGAGAGTGACGCACTTGATCAAAATTGGACGACTAGATGCTAGAGGAAGCATAAATCTTCTATGTTGTAGAAGAAATATAGAAAAAATAAATACAATAACAAATATGAGCGACGCTCATATATAGGTATAAATTATAACAATGATCAAGTGGCCCATAACATAACAAATATGATTGACGCACATATATAGGTATAAATTATAACAATGATTAAGTGGCCCATAACATACGACGCTCATATATAGGTATAAATTATAACAATGATCAAGTGGCCCATAACATAACAAATATGATTGACGCACATATATAGGTATAAATTATAACAATGATTTAGTGGCCCATAACATACGACGCTCATATATAGGAATAAATTATAACAATGATCAAGTGGCCCATAACATAACAAATAGACGTTCATAAATAGGTATAAATTATAACAATGATCACGTGGCCCACTTTGGCCCTTTCTCAATAGCAAATAAGTCAAGCACGTCACATATGGGTCCTCCCACTTGCTCAATTTTCCAAAGATATTGTACTCCCTCATGTTTATACTGTTCATTTTCTCCCTCACGTAAACGCTGCCAAGGTTTAGTTTTAGGACCCCAAATTTTGGAGACAAAACATATTTAACACATAGATTAACCTCAATAAGAAAATTCCTAATAGCACCTCTAAGCACTTAAAAAAAATAATATCTCAAGATTTAATAAAAAAAAAACCGTCCAATTTTTAAAAAGTGAGATCTTGAAAACTCAAATTTTAAATTTTATTTTTGAGAATAAATCTTTCCAAGTAGTCATCTGATGGAGGGAATAGAAATAAAGTCTGCTATATAGGAAGCATAATATTCATGCTCTTCATTATTTTTTTTTAATGTTAGTTGGGAGCGCAATATTTTAAAACCAAGATCAACATTGACGATCAGGGGCAGATGCCTCAACATAATGTTCAACCCTCCATTCCCACTGTTAACATATCAAAGCGGACCCAATCCAAGCCGCCGGATTTTTGTCATGTGGTGAATCATTAAACAAATCCCTTGGCATATATGTATCTACGTAAGCCATGACAAAGGAGAATCCAGAAATGAATCTATGATGCCTATATATGCTTGCTCTTCTTTGTTGGTAAGGAGAGGAGAGGAAATGGATGAGGATTTGCAGCAAGATATTGTCATTGTTGGGGCTGGGATTGCAGGGCTTGCCACTGCTCTAGGACTCCACAGGTACATATCAATTTCTCTACCCCATAATCAATGCTATTATTATCACTGTAAATGACAAAATGAGGTATACTCATGGTGGTTTAGATATGAATGATCCACTGTTTACTTTCAAGATTGGCAATGGATATGTATGTAACATGATTTTTTTGTTGAATGTCTCTCAGTTGTTCTGAACACGTTCTGAACACTACACACCCAATTGTGTAAAGTATGGTATACTAATAATTAAAAAAGAAAAAGAAAAAAAAAATTGTGACAAGTCATTCGATGTAATAGGCTCAATGATTCAAAAACTCGGCTGAGTCCATGCCTGAGTTACTGAGGCTTGGCTCTTTGCTGAGCCAAGTACTCACGTGTAAATCGGGCAACTTAGAAAAAAATAAGAGCTTATAAAAAATAAGAAAAATGCTGAATTGATGTATAGAAATCATATGTGTAATATCGACTTCTTTTACAATGATTTGTGAGGTTTTTGTCAAATGTATCTTACCATAAATTTGAATACAACTTTATGTTTTGTTTTTAGCTTTTTTGGACTTTCTGTTAGTCTTTATTCTTTAGTATTTTCACTTTTACAATTTTAATTTTATTGTGAACCCGGTTTTGTTTTGTTTTTTTTTCTTTTTTTTTGTTTCTTTTTTTAGGGCCTTTTTGGCATTGTACTCTACTTTGGCCGAGTCCACTCAGACTCGGCGGACTCAGCTGAGGTACTTGAGCCAAGGCTGAGTCTGAGACTAGAGACAAGTTAAAACATATTATTTTAGATATATATCAATGGATGATAATGGATTTCAAATATTTCTTAAAAGCATGAAGTCATGCCTGGTTCTTCTGTGCAAGAACCCGAGTCGGAGGACACAACGACATTTTTTTGGAAAATTTATCTAAAAGGGCTCAAAAGATGAACTATTTAATTGGATTGTATATAATGAGACCATTTATCTTTGGTACAAAGAGGTCACAATTATTGGATACCATCTGATGTGAAATCTGATAGCTGGGGCCTAGCACAAAGTTCAAATTTTTATTTTTTATTTTATTTTTTATTTTTATTTTTTTATAAACTTTGAGCTTGATCAATGGAATAAATGCAGCCACCCAATTTTACATACATTGGTTAAGATTAATTGTGACCACTTTGTACTAAAGATAAATAGCCTCATTGTCTATATTTTTTTTTTTTTTATTTAATGTAAGATATGTTTTGATAAATGATTGAAATGTTTAATAGTTGATAACTGTAAGGTGTTCTGAAAATTTTCCCTTTTCTTTTAAAAACATTATAAGCCTAGCATCATTCGAAATTGTAATAAAAAGATAAAAAACATGAAAGACTCAAGAAAGAAAAACATATTATGTGACCCATTTTCGGATCACGAGCTAGGGTTCCACTATGCTTGCCTTCACGTGCTCTCTCTCTCTCATGTGTACAGCAAAGGATGGGTAGGAAATCTTACCATGTTCTTGTCATTTTCCATCAATCCAACATTGATTTTGACTTCTCTTCCTCCTTAAAATTTAAATTATCTATATACCTCTTTTTCTTTTTCTTTTTTCTTTTTTTTCTTTTTTTTTTTAATATCATCATCATTCGAGTCTTATTCCAACTATTTAGAGTCGGCCAAGTCATCGTATCTTTTTTCTACTACTTTCATCCATATCCTTTTGAGCATTCTTTTTATTATTTTAGAGCATTCCACTTCAACCAAATTACACCTCCTAATTGGTGTTGTATTAGGCCATTAAATCAAATCACACCTCCTAACCAAATCGCTTCACATCTTTTTCAAGTAAATATATTATAAATAAAATGGTCAAGGTCATTAAATAACTATGTTCTAATAGAAATATATAACAAACATATGCTTTTTATTTTCTTGAAAAACCCATTGTTTCCATACATTTTTGGAGACCCATTGATGACTCGATTACCCAAAAAAAAAAATCCCCCTTTATTTTACGCGCTTATTTTAGTAAGTTATATCAAATATAACGATGCTTTCGACGTGCAAATTAATTTGATTCTTTTTTTTTCCCTTTTTTTTTTTTGAATGTTAACAGTAATTTCATTGGGGAGAATGAGAAATTACATAGGCAAATTACTTTGATTTTGCAAACAAAGATCGATTGTTGCAACTTGTTTCACAGGCAGGGTTTGAAAAGCTTGATTTTAGAGTCACATGATGCCCTACGAACAGCGGGGTTTGCACTCACCGTATGGACCAATGCGTGGAAAGTTCTTGAAGCTCTTGGTGTTGCCGACACCCTACGCCAACAGCATGTCAAAATTCAAAGGTAACAAATACTCTCACTGTTTTAAAACTTAACGATTTTCGATTCAGGTCGTCGATTCGGATGCGAAATCGGTTAGGATTGAATCAGTTTTATAATGGTATAGGTCCCTGCTCGATTCCCCACAAAACCCCCTTTTTATTTATTTTTCTTTTGTTGAAATATTGTCTATGTTTTCAGTGGTCCCCACTTAAATCCCACCCCGTAAACCTCTATTTTAAGTTTTATTTTATTTTATTTATTTTTAATTATTTTGGACAATTCGATAATAATTGAAATTGTTCATCCATCAATTTGGACCAGTAGTGAAGGTAGACGATCCACTCCACCCATCCGATTTTTTTAAAACATTGTTATGTTCTTTTTTCTTTGTCCTTTATATTATGCTCCTACATGAGCATATTGTACCCTTACTTCCTTGGTTAGATTTTTTTTCCTATCTAAATTTTGGGATCTGCCAATAATAGATGACTACTTAACTAATTGAGAATTTCACTTCTTAAACACATAGATCATGTATATCTGACCATTTCAAAGTAATTAGACGGTCTATATTCAATCTTAAATACGAAATGCTTTTCAAACTTTTTCTCTATACTAATCTCTCCCTTGATAAGGTTATATGCCCAAAAACTTGGGGGCCTAAAAGTAATCCTAGATTGAATTATTTCTTTTTTTAGGTAATTTAATGGGAAAGACATGCCGCTACTCTTCTTTTTTTTCTTTTTTTTTTTGAAGTAGATTACGAATTAAATTTCTGAAGATGTTAGAGGTTGTGATGTTAGTGGTAGAAATGGAAACGACATTATGGTGATTGTGGGGTTGCTACCACTATGACCACTTGTGTCACTGGAATTCTATCGTGAATGATCCATTGGATATGCTTTGTGGGACCTAGCAAAATTTGTCTAACCCCACCAAAAAAGGGAAATATCATTGAAAGACTTAAATTATTAGGATTATATACAATGAGACTACTTACTTTTGATACAAGATGGTCACAATTCTTTATATCTATTTGATGAGAAGTTTGATAGCTTGGACGTGTCACAAAGTTTGAAAAAATTTATTTTGAAGTTTGAGCTTGATCAATGGAATAATTACAACTACCCAATTTCACATCTAATGATCAAGATTAATGTGACCATCTTGTATCAACAGTAAATGGCCCCATTTTATACTTTTCCTAAATTATTAAACAAATCTTTAAAGGGGTCAAAAGAATCTATTTATCGCTGGTTTTTTTTTTCTTTTTTTTTCTGTTTTTAAACATCAATTCATCAAAGTACTTCCTCAAGAACTGTTCACAGATTCTCAAATTGCGCTTTTTAGGGTTTGAAATTGCTTTTTTTTTTTTAATGGTATGTTTGGGTTGGAAATCTTAATGACTAGGAGTATTTTTGGTAGTTCGATTCTTGATTAGGAGTATCGAACTAGCATATAATAATTATACCCCTAATTCCATATTGTTAAGCATGAAACATCGAGAGTATTTTAATCATTTTACAACTTTATTATTTAGACCCTAGACAATCAAGGTTAGTTTTGTAATTTATATCATGTCACTTAAGTTAGTGAGAATTACCAAAATACCTTTGGTTGTTTAAGATTCCCAACCCTCACAAAGGTAATTTGAAAATTATTGAAGAAAATTTAGAATTAAATTGGTAAACCCTAACGATATTTTTTAACAATTTTATAAAATAACTTAAGCCTTTTGTTATTGGAAAAAGTTTATATAAGGTTGCAACCTTAAGATGTGATGCATTTCAAATATCCATCGGAAAATGTTGTTTTAATGTTGAAAAACCCTTTAATTGATCATCTCGATATTGAGATGTACGAATATTGGCGCAGTATAAAATTTTCGGCAACTAACATTGGCAAATAACCGCGTTTTCGAGAGAGATGAAAATTGAGAAGAAAATCACAAGTGAAAGGAACAAACATATCTACGGGCCCACAAGCACATAGAAGAAAAACATGCACAGATGGCTCTCTCTTCATAATCTCAAAATATCACTTTTTTTTTTTTATTCACAGAACTCCTCCTTCTTTTACATGGTCATTTTAATTTTATACGACCCAAATAATTATCGCTACCAACTAAAAAGTGAAGGTATAGATTCATGGATGTTTAAATGTGCGACACTAAAAGCATGAGAAGTCTCCGAAGGATTAAATGGAAGTGGTTGCTTGATAGACGAAGGTTTATGAGGTGGTTCCCCGGGCAAAATTGTACATTTTGTACAGCACATAGTATTGGTAAAAGCTTATGATTCAAGAATTGTTCGGTAAGTGTGGTCATTAAAAGCCTTATGAGTGCTTCTAATAAAACATTTTAATATAATGGAACAAGAACTCAGTGGGAGTGTGGTCCATTGTGGATTATATTAAGTAACTAATGTTTGCTGATATCGGACTAAGCTTGACGACCTCGACCAGATGGTTGAGAAAAACCTATGTTACTTGGGCATAGAAAACTATCCGATAAGGGTTCTAATAGGTCATCCCTTGATGAGGTCGCAGTATTCCCGGATGAGTGAGCCAAGAGACTGTATGACTCTTGGGTGTGATGGTGACCTTTATTTACATTTGTTAGATTGTGGTGTTGAGTCCTTACCTTATACTTATTTGGGAATTTCTTTAGTGGATTTGAGGCCTTCAAGATAAATTTTGGGATCCGGTGGTAGAGAGATTTGAGAAGAAACTAGATACTTAGAAAGCTAAAATTCTTCTATGGCGGAATATATACGTTGATTAAATCTACTTTATCTAACCTCCCAGAATATTTTATGTCTTTATTTAAGGTGCCAAAAGAAGTTGAAAAACAACTGGAGAGAATTATGAAAAATTTCTTGTGGAGAGATGACATAAGAATGAAGAGATATCATCTAGTGAGTTGGAAAAAAGTTTGTAGACCAATGAAGGAGGGGGGCTTGGGTGTTAGGAGATTGAAACATAAGAACTTGGCACTTTTAGTAAAATGGGGGTGGGTGATCTATACACAACCTAAGTCTTTTCTGGGTGCTTGCTCTAAGAGAAAAATATGGAATAAATTTGAACTTTGGCCTCATTAAAAGTCCAAGAAACAATACAAGTTTGTCTCATGTTTGAAGAGGTATTGACTATGAGAGATCCATGAATCTACAGCAATTCCGAAAAATAATGGGGAATGGAGAATCCGCTCTCTTTTGGTTTGACAAATAGATTGAAGATAAACCGTTGAGATACATTTTTCTCGAGGTTTTCTCAAAAGCTTTAAACCCACTAGCATTTGTCAATTAGGCTAGTGGAGGTGTTTATATTAATATTGTTTGATCTATTCCTTGCATGTACATAAGATGTACAGACAGATTCATTGAGGAGTATCAGGCATTGTTGGAATTATTGAATGACGTATATTTGACTCCAAATATGGATGATAGCTTTATTTGGGATCTTACCCCTTCGGGAGACTTTTCGGTTAAATCAACCCACAACCTATTATTTTATGATCGTTGGAGAGAATTAGATATTAGTTTATTCAAAATTTTAAAATTGCATGTGCCTCTTAAAGTGCAATTATTCTTATGGATCCTGTGTCAAGATAAATTAGTAACTGTTGATAATTTGAGAAAGAGGGGGTTTATTGTCACCAATGTATGTATCATGTACAAAGCCAGTGATGAAACTTCGCAACATCTTTTCTTTTCGTACCCTTTTGTTACTTATCTTTGGGATTGGGCTCGCCATCAATCTGTCATTACATTTGCCTCAAAATGTTAGAGCTCTTCTGGACCAATGGATCACACCTGATATTTCAAAGATGGAAACTATCATTTGGAGATCTATTTGGATTAGCCTTCTTTGGAATGTGTGGAAGGAAAGAAATAGAAGAGTTTTTGATAGTATAAGTGCAGATCTATTTATATTAAAATCGAATATTTTGCCAGTTGCAACCAATTAGTTCCTTACATATAAGGATAGTGGCTTCATTCCTAAAAGTCTTATCATTAGCAATCATTTGGTAGTGGCGACTATAGATGTTACCATAAACACTCGTAGTGAGGTTGTTTGGATACTACCATCAGTGAATTCCTTCAAACTTAATTTTGATGGAAGTTCACTTGGCAATCCAAGACCAGCCGACTATGGTGGACTCATCAAAAATAATTTGGGTCACATTATTTTTTCTTATTCGGTTCTTTGTGGCATCACAACAACAAATGAGGCAGAAGCACAATGTTTATTAGAATCTTTGAAATTGATATGCACTTTGAAAGGGGACAGAATTATCGAATGAGACTCGGCAAATGTCAGTGCCTGTAGTAAAAGAACGGCCAAGATCTCTTGGAGATTAAGGACTATTTTTCATCAAATTTGGGATATTATATCAACCTTTATGGCAACGGTCCAACATTGTTATAGAGAGGCGAATGAAGATGCTAATATTCTTGTTAAAGGAGGAGTCCATTCTCCCTCTCTGTCAGTTACTTCTTTTCTGTAATACTGTGTCATTGCTTGAATATCTGGTATTTTACATATGAATTAATAATAAGTCGTACATTATTGTTAAAAAAAGAAAGATGGTGGCCCTTAGAGATGGGGGTGAAGCTTTCAGAAAAATGAACAACCTTTCAGGGTAAAGCTTATGCATGTGCGAGAGATACCCCTATGCAATAAAGAAGCTGTAGTCGCATCAGGCCTAGGTGACCTTGGAACGTCTCTAAGGGAGAACCTATAATCCACAAGCTGGAATTACGATCCCTTGGCTCATCGGCCAGACTTTGGTAACTCACTAATGAGCCCCTGCATGGACTGTGGGTCATGAAAAACACTGGGTCGATTTGATAAAGCAAGTGTAGATTGTAGTCCACAATTGAAGGTGGAGTGCCCAAATGTTTATTGATTTAATTCCTAGACTATATGGACATTTTTCCCATCTAATGAATTTAATTATGTTTTTTTATGGTATACAATATTTTGGAATTATTATTTGAATTTTTATAAATCTCTAAGATATTTTATTTATCAATTTTGAATTTATCAAATCAGATATATTGATTTTATATTATATTCAAATAAATTCTGAAAATGCTTTTATTAAATAGTCAAAATTGCATAGGACTCCATTGTGCACATGGGCCCACCATGCCCTAGATGGTGGGGCCCATGAAACCCTCTCATGGGTGGCACACGCCACCCATTTAGGGGGCTTTCCTTTTTAGTGGATAAGAGACTTTGACTTGTAGTCAAAGTATTACGTGTTTTTGAAAGGAATTGGCTTGATGAAGCTTTAAATGGATTTTTTGGAAAGCATGAGAAGGCTTGTGCATTATTTTGGAATGCACAATATTTTATTTGAAATTATTTTATTTAATTTTTATTTATAGGAAAATGATTTAGGAAAAGAGATAAGGGTTCTAGCACATTCCATAATGTTGATGACTCATCTATGGAATGGAAGGATCAAATCCCTCACCCCACAAGTCACCCAAGAGCAATGGTTCATGTTCAATTTCACAAAAAGATGCAAGCCATGAAAAACCCTAAGAAACCCTAATCTTATTCTTACTCTATAAATAGAGGAACTCTACCCATGAAATTTCTCTCTCTCTTAGATGCCATAGGGGGCACGCCCCAACCCTAGGTTTCTCTCTCTCTCTCTAGTTTTTGTGAGGGGCATGCCCTACCTCTTGGGCTCTCTATCTCTCATCTCGCTTTGGGTAGTGTTAAGAAGATGACATCTTAGATTAGGTCTTGAGGGTTTGAACTTAAGTCTAAAGTCTTGTGATCAAAAGGGAGTTCATAGTTTTATTGGAGGGCTTGGCTTAAACTTGCTTTCTCGGTTGAGATTGAAGGTTGATCATTGATCCTATGCTATCGAATGGTGTTGACTCGGTGTGGGGTATAATAAGTCCGATTGAGGTAATCTCCAGCATATCTTTCGTTTCTTGCATATTTAATTATATTGTTTTTATATTCCCAAATAAAAAAAGTAGTGGTTATTTTCTTTGATTAAAGAAATATTGGTTTTAGTGGCATCAAAGTTTTAAAGATCTCGGATTTGTTGATTTTATTTTTTTGAAGCATGAGTTATTGTAATAAGACTACTTGTAAATGATCTTTGCCAAAATAAAGGGGTAAGTAATAAAAAAATATATACCCTGGCAAAATCACATTGGTCTTTCTTTCAAGAATGGCCTGGGGCCTTGGTGGTAGTATCAACGAGCCCTATGATAAAATCTCTGACTCCATTTGTGATATCGATTCTTATAACTGACACTCCAATTAACACCTTCAAAATGTAACTCTCTAATCTATTAAAAAAAATGGTAGAGGCTTGTCTTCCCCACTAAATTACCCAAAAAAAAAAAAAGCTCAAGGCCCCTATAAAAAGCATTTTGATCCCTTAAATGTCTAGACCCAATATTCTATCAAATGGATGGTCTAGAAGCAATTGTAAGCAAAAACTGGTTTGGAGCATTTCTTGAGATCCTATTCAAATATATTTCCATGTTGAATTGTTTAGGAGATGAATAAAATTAAAATCTTTGGGTCAAATAAATTCTCCTAACATTGTCTTTTGGCCATGGGACTAAATTAGTTTTTCATCATTAACATTATAGCCTTTTACTAATTAATTGGGGTTGGCTACACGAATTCTAATCCACTATTTTGCTCTATTGAAGACCATATCCTCAGTGATGCCATAAGTCATTTGATCAGTTATATAAAACTAAATTGTTTATATGAAACTAAATTGTTTATTCAAGCAAAGTGATTTGATCAGTTATATAAAACTAAATTGTTTATGCAAGCAAAAGTCATTTGATCAGTTATATGAAGGGAAGGCATTGATTTATTAAGTAAAGTGGATTCATAGAATTATTAGATAAATCGAAGAGTTGTTTGTATGTCATATAAGTCACAAACAAAGCAATTTCTACCTAACTGAATGTTTTATGAGGAACCAATGTCCATAACATATCATGCCTGTTACATGATATGATATGGTGGTATGGTGCACGACACCCAATGGTTGTGTGTCGATACCCACTGATCGTTAGATTAGTCCAGGTTGTGTATCGCCCCCACCCCGGCTTGTGCGATTATTATTGAACGGATGATCCTTATTAAGGTTACTGGTGAGATGTTCAGGTCCAGTTAAGGAGGTCAGCGAGTTCAATGTCTTGGAAGCTGCTTTGTGTGGCTTAGTTGGGTTCTTAAGTAGTTGATGATGTAGGGTCCTCCAAGGCTGAGGGTTATCTACGTTTGGAAAATCTAGGTTGGTCATTCATAGGAGGGACTAGCATTTCTCTATTTCTTCATCTTTGTTTATTGTTGTACTCATGGAGATTGCCTCGTTTATATAATGAGAGTAATAGATAACCTTTCAAAAAGGAAAAATGAAAAAATAGTGGTCTAGTGTGCGACAAGTTACGTATTATTAACATGTGGCCATATGAATCTATTATATTGAGGGGAATGATTTTATGTCACCATATCATTGTAATATAATGAAACCACACTGCTAGAAAACCATGTTTGTGATATTTGTATAACCTCAAATTTTGCATAATTAATCTTAAAAAATAAGATTCAATTTGCACCATCGATATGGTCAAAACGAGTGCCCTCCAACAATGAAGCTCCACCATTTATTTGATGGATTGTAGGCCTTTATGAATTTAAAATCATCTTTTTCTTTTTCTTTTTTAATATTGTCAATTTAATAATAATACAGATCTAAAAAGTTTGGAAAAGAAAAAAAAGCTTAGATCTAAGCCTCTCATGAAGTTGAATGTCCTATATTAATTAATCTAAAAAACATTTCCTGGGGCGTGTTTTAAGTTTTTTTTTTTTGTGAACGTTCATTGGAATGGATATTTAAACATTAGGATAAAAAAAAAAGACCCTAACATAGTTTTTGAAAATTGTTTTTGTTATATGTAATACATCTGTTGCATGAAATCATTACTCTATAGTATGAGCATTGATATCAGGTTTCTTTACTGCAGGTCAAGCATCACTTCCTTAGTAGTTGGGTCCACTTCATACGTGCCATTCACAGGTCATGGGAACTGGTTAGTCAATCCCCCCTCTCATGTTTAGCCTGGTTAAACATTTGAACCAAGAGTCCTAGCATTGAGGTCTATTTTGCTAACGAAAATTGTCTCATGCGGGTTGGACCGCATTTTTACATATGCGATCCAAAAAGTGTAAAGCATCCAATTTAAAAATAGATGCAAGTAGGTGTTCTATCTAAAAACAATAGAAACTAACAGTCCAAATGTTTTCTTACTAGAATTATTATTTTTGGCTTTTAAAATTTATTTATTTATATATTCATATTCATGATCTCCATGTTAGAGATTACATGTCCTTAAAAATTAAGTCTTAAAATCCATCTCAAGAATAGATTTATTAAAAGGCCCACATTTTTACATATACGGGCTTGCCCGCATAGAAACCAAGTCATGTTTGCTAAAAAGTAGTCCCTATTTGGCCCATATTAGGGGTTCTATAATACTTAAAGGACTAGAGAAGAATAATTGAATTTAAATTGGTTAGTGTATCACATTATGAAATTGAAATTTTGAGCTGGCAATCTGATTTTTTATAGGGAAAATTACTTCTGTATTATTTTATTTGACTATTATTATGTGTGATCTAAAAATATGCCATATTTATATGGAGGTCCTTGTCCCTTTGATTTTTTTTTTCCAAGTTTGCTTCCGGTCCATTGCATACTAAATTTGTTTTGTTTTGGATTGTTTTTTGTTTTTTTTTATGACCACCTTAAACTTTCAAAAATTGAAGTCTAAACACCGTCTGATGTTAGAAACATTAGACCGCCTTAAACTTTAAAAAAATGAGGGTTAAATGTGGTCCAATGTTACGAACATTGGAACGCCTTAAACATTCAAAAAATGATGCCTAAATGGGCAAATTGATGTTATCAAGCGGTACGATTATTAAAAAATCAGATTGGGGCAAAATTGTACAAAAAAAAAAAAAAATTGAGAGGCTGTTCTTTTGAGTAATAACGACCTATTTTGGGCCTTTTTCATTATAACGGTTTAAAAAACCAGCCCATGTGCAATCCCTTTTTTGTACTTCTTTAATGAAATTGTTGATATAGAGAACTTGAATTTAGTGATGTATTCATATTGTTTGGACATGGGGATATGAAGTGGGGAATTTGAAACCCGTTGTGTGAGGAGGGACTTGTTGGTGGAAGCACTTGTAAGAGAAATGCCCAATGGTTCAATCAAGTTTGGAGCAAAAGTGGTAAATATTGAAGAGAAGCACAACGAATCCCCTCTTTATCTTATTCACTTAGCCGATGGGACAATTATCAAAGCCAAGGTAAAACTTGTTCATTGCTTCACTATTTATCTTAGGTCTTGGGATCTAACAATCTTTGAGGCTATTCGCAAAAAAATAATGATCATAATTCAAATTTCTCTACGTTTTAATAAATAGATTATATATTATGAGACCATTGTTTTTTTTGGTTAAAGGAGCTCACAATCAGCTATGGCTATCATATATGAAATTTGATCGTTTGGGTGTGTCACAGACTTCAAAAAAATTTCTTTTGACCTTTTGGTATGGCAATGGAACAACGCATATGCTCAATTTCACATCTAATGATCAATATTAATTGTGACCTCCATGTGACAATATAACTGATCTTATAGTATACTTTTCTTTTAATAAAATAGTGTGAAAGGGTATCTATCGAGATACACCAAAAATATAACTTAGTTAAGTAGTGATTATGTATCTTTTGATTGGCTTTTTAAATAGGATGAATAAAATGGGCAAGATATTAAATAGTTTATCTCTTTGGTGTTTTTTTGTTGGCACGTGTAGCCATGAGGCCTCACATTACCTCACCTATTTTTATGGGCTCATTATTTTTATGGGAGGAATCCTATGTACATTTATGTTTATCCATTGCTAAAGTTTTTTTTGTATAATATATAAAGGGAAAAGTATATATAGAGCCTAGGCTCTAAACAATTAAATTAGATCCTACCTCAAAAGTTTCACTAGAAGAGGTTGTGTTGATGCTCAAATATCCTCAAATCGATCATCTCAATATCAAGATGCGTGGACTTGATAAAAAAATAGATTTCAAGTTTTGAAAATAGTGCATCTTGCAACACATTTTTGGACCATCAATTTTTTAAGTTATTCAAGTTTTCATAGATCTGCTCGATCTACACTATTTCGAAGCTTTAAATTTTATAATTAAATACGAAAATATATTTTAAGGCTAATCAAAGATTTTCAATATTGAAACCACATTTCTCGCTACTAATTGAATGTGGGCTCAAATTTGATTGTTTAGAGCCTGAGCTCTATACAAACCCCACCCGTATATAAATGACTAATTATTTTATGAAGGTTTTCTAACATTTATGTGATGTGAATAAGTATGCCTAGAGATTTGGGAGTCAATTTCTCATAGAACCATTGAGAAAAGGAACGTTGGGCCTATCTTCTTCCTATAAGTATGGCAAGTCAGAGAGAAGAAAATATAGCAAAAATAGAGAGCCTCCTGTAAATAGAAAGGTTTATCTTCTTTTTCTAAAATGGTTCTTAATACAAAAATCCAGATTCTGCGATCACCAACCTCACAGCACACTCCTCTAAGATCTTGGCTTGGTGCTTATCCTTGCTCCATGAATTTTGCTTTCATTTTCCCTAATGTAAAATCACCTTGTAATGTTTGTTTTTTTCAAGTTTGAGCTTATTTTGTATCAAGTGGATTGTCTCTAAAATTAATGCTTACCCACTCTCTAAAGGTATTGATCGGGTGCGATGGGGTGAACTCAGTTGTAACAAAGTGGTTGGGGTTTGAAAAACCAGCCTTCGTGAGGCGCTCAGCCAGCAGAGGTTTAGCAGAATACCCAGGTGGCCACAACTACAAGCCTGATTTCTTGCAATACTTTGGTGACGGGTTTCGAATGGGGTTCTTGCCCTGCAATGACAAATCCATGTACTGGTTCTTCACTTGGAGCCCTACCCAGCAAGGTGGTTGTGTGTGCGTGTGCGTGTGCATGTGTATGAGAGTGAGAGAGAGGGAGAGGGAGAGAGAGACTAATATTGTGATTTATTTTTGCAGAAAAAGGTAACGAGGACGATCCCATGAAAATGAAACAATTAATCTTGGAAAAGATGGAGGGAGTGCCAGAAGAAGTGCGACAGGTGATCGAGAAGACGGAATTCCAACATGTGATAACATCTCCTCTAAGGTGCACATGGCCGTGGCGTCTGTTAAGGGGAAACATATGCAAGGGGAACGTATGCGTGGCCGGAGATGCATTCCATTCCATGACTCCTGATGTTGGCCAAGGAGGATGCACAGCTTTAGAGGATGGTCTAGTCTTGGCAAGATGTTTGGGGGAAGCCATTTTAAGTGGAGATGAAGGAAAGGAACATAAGAAGATCCAAAATGCATTGAAAAAGTATGCTGAGGAAAGGAGATGGAGGGCCATTAAAATCATAACTTTTGCTTTTGTATTTGGAACGATACAACAAAGCCGGGGGAGAATCATGAATTTTGTGAGGGACAGACTGTTGGCCAAGATGATGCAGAGGAAGTTGTTGGCAATTTCTGATTTTGATTGTGGGAAGCTTTCTGCCCCTTAATAATGGGACAATAAAATGTTTCAACAGCCAAAGACTCTTTCTTGAAACAAAGCGATTGGTAGTATGTATTTATGTTAAAAAAAGAGTCCTCGTGTGAAATGTAATAGTACAACTGTTCTTGTGCTCGACTGTACTGCAGGACACTTGGGAGAGAACAGTTAATGAGGTTAATGAAAAAGGAAAATGGTTTGATAGGGCTAAAACCCTATCAAAATAAGTAAAGCCTCACCTTATAACTAATCAACAATTACTGTTGAAGTATTTGATCATCTCAGTGTGAATGTTATGGTTGTTAAAAAATTGGCATTTTTAAGCTCTAAAAATAATATATATTGTAACAAATTCTCTAGACTATCTATTTCTCCCTAAAAATAAATGTTCATACATCCACAAAATCTGTACCATTTTTTGAGTTCCAAATCTTGTTCCCATTATTAGAAATTGATTTTAGATCCATCATCTCCATTGCCGAAAGTACTTTCCAGATGAAGATTTGACATGAAGCTTTATTTTGTTTTCATAAAGTCTATGCCTTATAAAAACTTTATCCAATGGAAAAACCGCTCATCAATATGTGGAAAAAAGTTAGGGCAAAATTACAGATACCCCCCAAATTAAACTTTCTAGACAACCTCCCCCCAACCAAACAATTTTTATAACTTTTACTTGAAAACTATATTTTATTGCAAATACCCCAGAAGAAAAAAAGTCATATTTTTTTTGGACAAAAATGTCATTTTCCATACATAAGAAATCATGTTTGGTCAGGAATTGACATGGACAAGATTGCCGAACCTACTACATGGTATTGTCGGACTGGGCTGCACACTGCTGAACCCATTGCATGATACTACCAGATTGGGGCTTCACAATAGGGTCAAACAGGAAACAAATAGTATCAGACTGAGAGAAAAGGTGCCGGCTCGAGTACAAAAAGTGTCGGACCGCATGAAGACTGATCAAGCCACAACTGCTGGATCGAGACATGGATGTGCCAAACTATTTGAACAAGTTGCCGAGCCTCTTGGTTAGAATGCCGGACTGCGGGCAAATCACGTTGAGATGCCGGACCGAGATAGGTGAATGTCGGACCGAGAGAAGAGAGATAGTGCGTTGGGGCGTGGGAGACTTGGGGGTGATAGATGCATTTTTGTCCAGAAAAATATGATGTTTTGCATAAACATAGTTTTGGGAGAAAAATTACAAAAAAAAAGTTTGGTTTGAGGGAAATTGTCTGGAAAGTTTACTTTGGGAAGGTATATGTTTATAGACTGACGAGTAAGCTCTGAATTGCCCGAGCCGGCTTGAAACTACTGGGGTACACTGGTTAGTTTTGAAGACCTTCTAGGATCACATGATTCCCACTAGTTTAGTTTTGCAATTTTTGTGTTTTAATGCAAACTAATCTAAGAGAACTGGCCGAGTAGGCTCGGAACCGCTGAGTTGGCTTGGCCTAGGATGTGACAGTCCGGTTAACCGAGCTGAAGCTGGCTTTTAAAAGCCTAGATTGCACAATGTAAGCATACAAGGGAGGATTCCTCTGATTTTAACACTACCTATGTTTAAAAATGGTTGGCTCGAATTGGAACTCGTCCGAGTCAAACAAGGGAGAATTCTTCCTAGCTTCTAGAATTCCATTCGCCGACTCCCAGAATCCAGTAAGTGAGTGAGCATCTCAAGTTAGTGTTAGTAAAAAGAAAAAAGTTCACATGAGGTGTCAACTTTATACTGATGAAGTAAGGTGCACTTTAAAAATCTTTAAAAGAAAGTGTTTTGATGTTGGGAAAACTTCAAATTGATCATCTCGACCCCGAGATGTATAGAGATGAAGAAAAAAATTTGAAGTCCTAATAATGATACATCTTATAACAAGGTATTTGAACCGTCTATTTTCAAAAAATTTAAGTGTTTATTGATATGCTTGATTAATATCATTTTTGAAATTTTAAATTTCATAACTAAATATGAAAATACAATTCAACACATGATAAGATTTCTGTTATCAGAACTATATCTCTAGGCAGAATATATGGGTGCACCTTATATAAATCTCAACTTTAAAAAAAAAAAAGAAGAAGGAAAATGCTTATATAAGATTAACCTTATACTGCGGCGGTAAGGTGTTCCAATGCTTAAAAACCTTCCAAATTATCATCTGAGATGTATAAATATGAATAAAAAAAGATTTCAAATCCTAAAAATAATGCATCTAATAGTATATTATCTAGCTGATCTATTTTTAAGTTTTCAAATGTTTATAGATCTACTTAATTCACATTATTTTTTAAGCTTTAAATTTTATTTAAAGGAGTAGAAATAGATTTTCATGCTGTCATCAGCACTGAAACTGCATCTTTGCATAAAATTTAGAGACATTCTGATTGTTAGCACAAATGACAACTTAAAAAAAAAAAAAACCTCTTATTAAGGACTAAAATTATTTAAAAAATGTTAAGCTCCATTTCGAACTCACTTCTGCCTATACTCTAGTCGCACCCTAGCAATTTAAGGAGAAATGTTAGAATTGGCCTTCAGTCTCCTTCCAACCCTAATTTCTATGTAGAATACGAGGTTAACCCAAGACTTGCCCGACCTGAGTCGCGACTAGCGAGTCTCGAGGAAAGACTCATGAGTGGTCCTTGGGTCTTTCCACCTTAATTTTTATCGGTATTTTGAAACTCAAAGATTTCTGATTCATATTTAGTAGTGGTAACGGGTTAGGTATGGGTGGGTTTGGTTGGACCCAAACCAAGACCCGTACCTGAATAGCATTTGGGTCCAGATTTTGGACCCAGACCTAACTCATCGGGTCTAAAAATTGGACCTATACCCGTACCTGTTAGGTCTTGGGTCTAATTAGGTCCATTGTCACCTTCACTATGAGTTTTTTTTTTACCTTCATATACCCGTATTATTGGAAACAATGTCACAATCACTCGCTATTAGATTTCAAGCCGTCGATTTGTATGGCTACGAGTTATTATTGTATGTTCTTAATACACCCAAATGAATAGGGTTTAAAGTAAAATATTTTATTTCTAACAGTTTACCAGCACAGGTTAGTTCCTAGCCTTGGACTCGAATAGTGTTCGGGTCCAAATTTTGGACCCACACACAACCCATGGGGTCCAAATGCTAGACCCATATCCGGACCCGTGGCGAGTATATACCCAATGGCTCCCGAGTCCGTTGCCACCCCTATTTAGTTTACCAATTTGGATGGTAATCATGGGACGAAACTAATTTTGGGATGGTATGGGTTTGACTCGATTCCCCCTAAAACCCCCATTTTTATATTATTTTGTCTAACTTATCTAATGTTTTTTAATCCCACCCCATAAATCTCCATTTTAATTTTTATTTGATATTATTTAATTTGTAAGACTTTTTGGATCATTGATTTAGGCTGATCCCGACCTTACCTGATTGTTGATCCAACGATCCAAAACATATCTTGTCTGAACAATCCCACAATCCGCCCTACCGATTTGAATTTTTTGAAAGGAAAACCTAATTTTATATTTTAAAAATGACCTGTCAGGCTTCAGACTCGACCGTCCGGTCGGGGTAACCCGGAAGCCTGCCCTGGCTTATCGTAGCCTATCAGTGGGTTTAAAGTTCGAAAAATTGTTTCATGCAGGCTAGACCACATTTCTATAATATGCGTTCGGAGGTATAAAATATCCATCTTAAATATGGATACAACTGTCCAAATGTTTTCTTAATATAATTATTATTTTTAGTTTTCATTTTTTTTTTTCGTATTTATGATTTAAAGATGGGTGTGGTTTCTAGAAGGTTACAACCTTAAACAATCCAATTAAGACGCACCTCCAAATTTTATCATAACACATAATTATAGAATTTTATCATAACACATAATTATAGAATTTTAAACTTTAAAAAGGGTTAAAATCAAGTAGATCTATAAACATATAAAAATCTTAAAAATGGACGGTCTAGATAATGTGTACACTATTTTTAGGATTCAAAATCTTTTTTTTTTCATATTCATACATCTCGATAATGAGATGGTCAATTAGAAGGTTTTTTATCATTAAAATAACCTTTTCTTATGGATTTTTGAGGTACATTTGTAATTCTACATTTTAACATTGGAACCTTATATAAATTTTTTTTTTTAAAGATTATATATTTTCTAAAAATTAAGATCAAATTATATTTAAAAAATATATATTTACTTCCAAGCCCGCATTTCTATAATATGCTGGCTGGCCGCATAGAAACCGTCTCCTTAAAAGTTTATTTAAACGACGTTAAAGATCGAGCAAAGAACTGATCTGAACCCCAATCCAGAAAGTCCGAAACCCAGAACAATGAGCAACGATAGAGGCAGAAGCACCATCAATTCCAAGAGGGAGAAACCAGCCCTTAACCATGGCGACCTGGACTCCTTTCTCTCTCTCTTCAACGATTCTTCTTTAAAAAGCAGCAGCGATTCAGCCGAAGTTGCAGAGCTTCTCTCTGCTGCTCAAGAAGAGATCGAGCTCGACCTCAGGCTAGGCAGCCATATAACTGCTGATTCCTCTTCTCTAGATAAGGAACTTGCCATGAGATTTTCGAGGCTTAAATCACCTCTTCAAAACGCTAATCCAGAGATAAAATCGCCACTTCAAAACCTTAATTCAGAGAAAACATCAGAAATTGAAGGGCAGCCAGAGAAAAGATCGGCATTCCAAGACCTTACACCAGAGGATAGATCAACTGAGAAAGGGGAAGCAGAGAAAAGATCGGCACTTCAAAACCCTAAACCTGAGGAGATATCAGATGAAAGGAGCGATGACTTGAGCGGATTTGGAGACGAGGAATTGGAGAAGATTTTGGGCGCCGATCTTTCAACTAGGTTTTCAGCTCTAAAGAGACAGTCTTCAAATCTTGATCAAAAGCAGGAATATGATCTTATGAAACCCAGGAGCATTTCAGGCATGTATCATGATGAAGAAGAAGAACATGATGATGGTGATGCATTTGAGGGGAAAGTGAGAGAAGTAATTGAATGGGCAAAGGACGAGGCTCGTCTTAATCCTTCTCGTCTTATTGATGATGAAGAAGAAGAAGAGGAGGAAGAAGGAGGAGACGAAGAAGATGATGAAAGGTTGAAGGGGAAAAAAAAGGAGCCGAAAACCAGGAAATAGGTATGATATAGACACTCTGTATGTTTTTTTGTATGTATGTATGTTATTGACGATTGATCAATTCGTAGTTATGTAAAATAATTTGAGATTTGATATGTAATT